CTCATATAATTGTGGGAAAATTCTACTAACAGCTCTTCATCTTCTTAAACGAAATAGGGTGAATACATCTCATATAACTGATTTACTAGTAGACTCGAAAAATCCTTGTAACAATTGATCGGAGTGATTATATACCTGTTTGACGCACGACATAATAAAAGAGGACAAAAAGGAGCTGTCTATTCAAAAGCAGGTAAATAAATATTAAAGTGATACGCACTAGATTTAAGTGGAAAGATCTTGTAATCGTCCATCCAGACGTGGGCAGTGCGCAAGGTGTTCTTGGAAAGGATATTGGTTACACCACCAGGCCACGAGTATGGCGAATTGCGTCGGAATACATGACCAACTCTGGAACAAGGAACAATAAGAAGTTTGCCACCGCATTGCCAAACACGCAGAGACATCTCGATGTTCTCACCACCCCAGATCTCCATACCAGGATCATAAGCTCCCAGCTAAGTTGGAATGCAATTAGAAAAAGGTAGATTAAAATATAGACACAAAGAAGAAGAGGATACTTTTGAAAGGAAAAATGTTTGACGGGCAAACGCGTGAAAATAGGTAGAATCCTTTGATCTATATTCGGAATTATGTGTGGACGTAGGCCTTATGCCATAAAGTACATTTCTACGATGAGTAGAAATAACTACGTCGTAAGGTAAAATGATTTGTCGTAGAATTATATTCTAATTATCCATATGATAGACAAAGTTAAAATAAAATAGTAAGTGAGATCTATTCACCATACTTTATTTAAAGTAAGGACTGGTAGCATAATTTTTCCCACAACCATATAAATAGCCCTCATGCTTGCATTGAATTTTAAATGACCTTGCTTATCTAAAGTTATTCTCATCCAGGCTGATGTAGGTTGCCGTTTCGGCCTTGTGCTCCCAGCGAACTCCAATCATGTTAGTGCAGCGATTAATATCGATTGCCATGAGTGTACTTTGGACGTAGGGCAGATGTGCATTTTACCATATCACATTCTGATGAGGAAGTGCAGATGAAATAAAGTTGTATTTACAATGGCAATAAACTGCATTACTTATCTTTCATTAATGAGTAAGTTTTCAAAACTCTAGCCAAGCAATATAGGGTAAATAGATGAGCTATATATCATATACATCAGCTACTGGTAGTCTTGAAAACCTACTAATAAACGAAAAATAAATGATCAGTGAATCGATATTAAAGGTGATTTTCTCGAGTAAATTTACGAAATTTACTAAACTTATGGTAAAAAATTACTAGGAGTTACATTTGTGTTGAGTTTGGGTCAAGATCTAAGCTACAGTCAGAATAAATTGATGACTCAATAAAATTCTTCTGAAAAGCCAAGCCTTCGTTTATATTAATTAAGAGTAACCTAATGATCAGTGTTTGAATGACAAAAGAAATCTAGTTAGTTATTTCACCTAGATTTAATAAAAAGGAGCTACTTAAATGACTGATAATACTGTAAGCAAGTGCTATCTCATGTAATTCTAAAGCAATCCCAATGGCTCAAGGTGTAATTGAGTCCTCTTAACTGTCGAATTTGTGAGGTGACATACTTGGACTATAAAGGATGATTTCCTCCACTTGAATGCACAAAAGTAAACAGATAAACATAAAGATGGATAGTGTATTTCGGGGATTCTCACCAGCCCACTAAAGCTCTCTTATTTGTCTAAATCGTTATAACCTTAAATACGAATAAGGATACGTTTTGAAGCTACCAGTAGATCTTAAACAAAAGTCGTAATTAACCTAGATCAAATAAGATTATGAAGAACTGATAGCTAAATTTTCTCCCAGTGACAGTAGGCCTAACACTTTGCGCTTTCAATTCGAGGCCAGACTGACGTCCTCCTTATTCCAACTCGGATAACTAGTTCTGATATCAATTTGTCATAATCTGTCCAATAAATACAAATTTTGATAACTTTAAGCCAACTAGTAAGCTAAAAATGCTTTGCCTTTCGATAAATGAAAGTTGAGCACTGAGAGAATTAATAAATATTATTTAGTAAGCGGTTGTCTATTATTTCACTCAAACGGAAAAATAATAAATTTGATTTAAACGAACCAGTCATTGGCATACTGCCTTGCGACACAGATGGGTTAGCGCCAAGCTTTTATCTGTCCTGCAGAGACAGATAGTATCAGTGTGCGAAAATATTTAATAAATGCTAACCTAAGAATAGGGGTCAGCTGTAATGCTACAGATCATTTATAACTTAATTTTTGTATCTTAATTAATTTATGCTTATTCTGTCAGTTTGAATTAACTCAATGAATATATGAGTAAAAATCCGTCTTTTCTAAATGGTCTGAAATGTGGCCCTGGCATGCCGATGCATATTCTATAGCGTTGATGCCTGGTCGTGACTAAGCCCAAACCAGCTTCCAGGCCAACTAATTTTGCTCTTACTCAGAGATTTATACCACTCCCCCTTATAAATTCATTCCAACAGAAAGGCATAGTTTACGCTCCTTTAGTTATTTTGGAAAGACGGTCGTAAAGGATTCGTTTATTGACACAATCAGAAATTAGGATTGTCTTGGAGTTGTGACTAATTCTCAGCAGACCGTCCTTGGACCTCGAGTTGACCGTCCTTGGACCTCGAGTTAACCGTCCTGAACTTTCGAAGGCTTAAAACAATCCAGCAGTCGCAACGCCAAGGTAATCCTCCTTAATTTTCCAAAAAGGCCGACTCTTAAAACGGAATGAAAAGGCCAGTATGAGTGATTTAGGCCTAGCTTAATGAGGATAATTCAGTGTAGCACTAGGACGAGCACTAAGGTACAGAGACCATCAGAGCGTCAAATAATTCTAAGATATGAAAAGTGGCTGGCTGAAATTCTAATTATTTCTAGAAGTCCAAGTTTATCCGCTTAATTAGCCATCACAAGCCATCCTGCAACAAACTGGATCATGAAGTGCCTCAGTAAGTTGGAAAGCTTAGGCTGTGAAAAGTAGATATTATTGTACCAAAGCACTTTTATTTTCTTAATGTTTGAGGAAGTTTCCAATAGAATAGTCTAGCGCTCTGACAAGGGTTTACTAGAGGGTGCACCGATGACTCATGCACACAATTCCACAGACAAAACTAAGGGGAGATCCTCCCATCCTCTTTAGACGGAGTCAATCGACGATATGTCTCTCCTCTTTGTTCGCTCTTACAAGCATTATGAATTTATTAGAAGATTTATAAAAATCCGGCCTCTCATTATAGTCTGGAGTAGTTTATGTCTAACTTGACATAAGAGTTCTTTTTATTCAGAAGGCTGACCGTTGTGTTAAGTTATATTGAAACCATGATTCAGCTTAGCTCAAAATTCTCCATACTTTGCGAAATATTGGGACCTATACCGGCCTAACCGGTATCATGGACTAGCCATATACTCAGCAAGTTCAGATTAATAAAAGCAAACGTTTGAAGGCGGTTTTTCTATTCAAATAATCCTTTATGACTGAGCTAGTATTCATTATGGAATCATACATATATTTTAGAATATCTTTCCGGACATCCTAATCAGTTAAGAAGATATCATACTTAGTAGGGATTTATATATGAAGCTCACAAGTTAAGATTTTAACCTTGATTCGTATTTTTAGAAAACTTAATTGTGCAAGAGCAGGGGTTATGAAATTTTTTATAGTAAAAGTTATACTCCTAGTGGATGTAAATAAAAGGGAATTAGAAAAAAGATTATTGGTATACCATAGGTTATAACAACTATCCATCGGAGTTTATTAATACTCAAATATGATAAGGGTAAAATTCAGTTAGATAACCCTATTGTATTTCTGATTTTATAATACTGTTGGAATTTAGAAATAAAAGGTGAATTACTTAGAGAGTGAAGCATAGGACATATTTTTAAAAGACGAACACTTCTCAGATTAAGTCTACTTTTCAGGAGTATTCTTATATTCTCTTCATATAAAACTGCCATACGATGTTTTAATCATGTGTGAAAGTCTATATGGAAGAAACACTTTAAAGTATAAAGAATAAAATAGTTAAATAAAAAATCACGAGTAAAAGATTATTATAAGAAAGCTGCATTCGCAATAGGGCTAATAAAGAAGACTATACA